AAATACTACGTTCTGGTGTGACTTAAGTTATAGATACCCTAATCCAATCATCTTATACAGGTTACCGAAACACAAATCTATTTTTCAAAATCGTCGTCCATGGGATTCGAACTCTAGACCTGCTGCTTGGAGAGAGTGACGACTAGACCACTTCACTAAGCTGCTACACCTCTTATAGTTAAAATTGTTATAAATTACTATAGGAATATTTGTTACAAATTTTATTTTTTATTCTAGTAATATATTAGTATGAAGTCTGTATTAGGATATATTATTGTGATTATTTTTTTTATAGTTAAGGTAATCTCTTTAGCCTGGGGACTTTTTATTAAGTTTATTGGTAAACAATTACAATTGTAAACAAAAGTATATTAAGCCACACATACACTTTTGGTATTTAATTTAAGCAGTCTGCTCAAAGGTTCTATACTATTTGCTATACTTGCAACTTAACTACAAGATTACCTATTTAAACTTTCTAGTCACAACTGATGTTACTCTTCCAACTAACTTACTATTCAGAAGCAGATTTTGTAATATCTATAGATTTTGTATCTTACTTTAGAACTTACTAACTTAAGCTAGCCTATTTATAAGATAAACCTAATAGTGTGATATATATTTTCTATAAAAAAAGTGTTATTGTAGACATTGTCTAAAAATGTTCAAAACAAAGTCAATTTTCTAAACATTGTTTATATTTGTACTGTTTTCATAATGATGGTTGTACAGGATGTAAAAAATATGAAGTTTTTGATTATATAAAAAATATATAAAAAATACATTCATTCAATAAACATTCTTTAAATATTCAAAATAGAGTCAGATTTCTAAACAAAAATTGAATAATTTCAGAATTTTTAACAATTTCAAGAGATTTTTTTTTATAAAGATTATATATATATATTTATCTGTATGTTTAGTAACTTCTTTCTCTATTAGTATATATGTATTAAATTATTGTATTTGTGTCTTAAGCTATCTTTGGATACTGTTATAATATAATCTGTATCTCAAGTTACACCTTCCTAATTGGTCTTTTTATTATATACTTCTGCTCTTATAAAGTTTACAACAACCCTAGTACTTATATTTGAACTTTTTTCTTTTCCAGATTCTTTATCAGTTTCTTACTTATTTTTAGCTAGTAGTCTAAAAGGTTGATCTGCTCAGACTTTAAATATCTTACAGTTTTTCTTTTTTTGGTTTATGCTTTTAAAGCATATATTATTTTTTAATACATTTTAATCTAGTAGCTAAGCTAGTATATACTCTTACTTAAGAATATAATTATTCAGTTCTCTAATCTTAATCTCTAGTTCAAATTTAGCCTTCTATAGCACTGTTAAAGATTACTGCTATCTCTCTACTTGAGATTTGCAAACAGGTTTTTAGTTATTTTAGTTACTTTTGTATCAAAACATTTATTCTAAATAGTGTTACCAAGGTTACAAATCTCTAAATATAACTAATTGTTAATATCTATTAACTATATTACAAGTTTATTTTTCAAAATTAGCATCTGTAAAATTCAAACTTTAAACCTGTTACTTAGAGAGAATGACAATTAAACTACTATGCTAAATTATCATATTTATTATATTATTGTGATTTCAACTATAAATTATATAAAAAATTATATTAAACTTACTTACTATTCTAGTATTAACAAAAAGGCAAATTAATTTATATTAAAATTATCAAAATATTTATTAGGAGTTATTATAAAAATTCTGTTATATACTTACTTGATATATAATATACAATTAAGAGTAAGTTTATTTGTAAAAAATTATAAATTTTATTTGTAAAAAATTTGTATACAGAATTGATTTATTATTTTGATAATTACAATAAGAGTTGTCTCACTTTAAATATTAAAAAAAAAAAAACTATAATAAAGGTTGGCCTGTTTAAAAAAGTCTTAACCAGATTAACTGTTAGTTAGACTTCTTGATTATTCAGATATATCTGGATTATTTGAATTACCTGAGTAAACAAATAAGATTACAGATAGTATGTAATCTATAATATAATTAATCAGAGTTAGACCTTTTAAAAAGCATATACCAGATTAGTAATGTATTAATTATTCAAAGTAATTTATATAATTAATTATAATTTTATTTTCAAAGATATCTAAAAGTTTTTTCTACTTGGATTATATTCTTTTATATTGAAAAGTACAATTTTCTTAAGTCCAACCCCTAGTAAATAAAAAATCAGAACAGATTATACTAACTCCAACTCATAAATTAATTATTAAAAAAATATACTATTATTATATAATATAAATTTATTAATTTTTTTTTTTCACTTTGATAACCTCACACTAATTTATTAGAAGCTTTGTAATTTACAAATTTAACTATTTACATATTAGGCCAATACCTGGCTGCTTATAAGTGCCTAAGTATGGTTATTACACTGATGTTTGTCTTCACATATGGTGCCACTCATATTTAAAAGCCTGATAAAGTATAGTACTCAGCTACCTAAAAATTTTCTAAGAAATAAAAAATTCTATTCTGTTCTAATTTTACTTTGACTACTAGCTAGGTGAAAAAGAGTTTAAAATTTGTAACCAAAATATTTCTTTTACTAAATTATAAATCTCTACTACTTTTTCTTTAAGATTTACCAAACATAACTTGCTCTTTTTTTTTCCTTCTGTACTCGTCTCCTTCAAGGCCTTCTTTCTTTCACTTGGATAGTTTTCTATTAGTTGGTTTTCTGCTCGTATATTTGCTACTAACAAACTTTCTGCTACTAGGTCTTTAGCGGATACATCTATGTACCCCCTGCCCAGAATAGAAATGATCGTCATTGTTGTTATTTTTTTTATTAACATTACAGCACTAAGGTTAAGGTTAGGGTCAAAAATAGTGTTATAGTTAAAGCAGGCTTTAAACAAACCTATACCAAAATTTTGCAAGAAATTTTTTTTATTATAATGCAAAAGGTAGTTTTATATATGAAATTTCTAGATAAAGACGATTTTTTGAATAAACGACTGTTTTTTAAATTTTAATGTTACACACTGATCGTTTGTGTAGCATCTACATATCTGATGCTAATTGGCCAGAAACCGGTTTTCAAACTGGTTTGGGGGCACATAGATGTACGCCATTAACCATAGCTACCGCAACAATTGGACCGGCAGATCCTCGATTTTGATTGGCTAACGGCCGAGGATCTTCGAAATTTTGGCCCACATTATAAAATTGGTTACTAATTTCCGGCTGGAATTAACTTTTTAATTTTTTTATTACAAAAATAGAAATTCTTAAAAAATAAGCCCGCATTATGGTAAAATTGGCCCAGGAACAATTTTCATTTAATGGGCGGCTATGATTTCATTAGTAAAATTATGAGTAATTCCGGCCTAATCTTTTTATCGTCGCTCTTAGCCAATCAAAATCGAGGATCTGCCGGTCCAAATTTGTTGCGGCAGCTATGGTTAATCGAATACCCCAATGCTGCGTGCGCAGTTAAGATAGCGCTTTTTTCATGAAAATCTTTTCCGTTTAATCACCAATAAGTCAGTTAGCACGTGCCCTAAAATTAATTTTAAAGGAAATGAACAAAGGCAAATCGCCGAAATAGATTAACTTAAAAAAAAAGCGAACATATGAAAAGGGTATGCATAAATTAGACCAATTAGGTATTATTAATTAAAGATCGATTTTTAGGAAGAACGGATACACGTGTACCATCTTTGATCGACAATCCATTTATCCGATCGAGGGATCGGTTAATCAAAGTTAATTATTTATGTAATTCATGTATTCATACCGCATAAATTGTATTGTTGATGCATAACTTTAAACGTATCAAAAAAGTTTTCCAGCCTCCAATTTTTATTCTAAATATGTTCGGAATTTTTTAGTATAGCATTAACATATACATAAATTCTTACATGATGTCACGAAAATTCATCAAAAAGGAGATGTGGTGGGTCACGAGCAAGCATTAGCGCATCCAAATAAATTCTTAATAGGCAATGATCGCCAAAGGACATAATTTATCGCATACAATTAATGATTCGGTTATATAAATTTTTTCCTTGAATACTATACGTAGCTTGAATAGATGATTGAATTACGGCTTCATTATATATAATTTGATATTAGTATTAAAATTATCGGTGTTTTCAATCGTTTGCATTCCAAAATATTATCATTATCTTCCATATTATTAAATTAAATATATTTTCGGACTTGCTTCATTAGAATAGCTGTATTAGCTTGAATAGTTTGATCAACCCTATTTTCTTTATTTTTGAACAATATGATGTGAATTATTTTCTTGTGCAATATGCCACCAAATATATGTTATTTTTTTTTGCACCATCATTCGTAATTTTACATTGTGGTGAATGAATATGAGAACTCATTATTGCAGCAGAGCCAGATATAGGCTTATCAGGATTACAAAATATACATTTGACTTTAAGCCTTTTATTAGTTTTAGCCGAATGAAAAACTTGCCAAAAGGGCCTAACAGATGGTCAGTAGAACCAGCTAGGAAATTTACGAAGCAAATATTGAATTTGCAAACTTGGTAAAGGTCAACTTGACATTGTATTGATACGTAAATATGTGATAATTTTATTTAATTTATTTGTAATCAATAACTTTTAATGATAAATTACTTAATAATATGTAATAATTTATAAACATTGCCCATCACCCGCGTGACTCATGAATGCAATGTTAGTGCTACGTTATCTGCCAAATAACTTCGTTATTTGGCAAGCACTATCGCAGATAACATCTTTATTGTATGCTACACAACCAATAGCTTGCTTATTGTTATCTGGTATCGAATTTAATATTTGTCATTTCTGGGCCCTTCGAGGCCCAGAAGCTGACATATCAAGTTTCACAGAAGATAACGATAATGAATTTTTTACAAATAATTCTCGTTATTGTATGTATATTATAAAAAATATAAATAGTCTATAGTTTTAAATTGATCAACAAAAAAAGGATTTCAAAATGGATTCTGAGATTGTTATCTCGTATAATGATAAAAAATTGCTTATTACGAATTCTCCAATTAGTGTTATTAAAAAAGATGGAAATGATGTATTTCATATCATTATTGAGAAACGACCAGCAAATGTAAAAATATGCTTTACAAAAAATAACAAATTTATTAGTATTATTTCTGGATTTTTTGAATGTAAACGTTCTAAATCAGAATCAAGTTTTGAGTTAACAAAAATTGATCCATTTTCTGAAACTGATCAATCATGTTATATGATAGATAAAACAATAAATGTAGCAATGTATTTTAGAAAAGATATTATTTTTAAATTATTAAATCAAAAACTTCTGGAGATATACGAAGAAGAAGAAATTGAGGATACCGACGATATTTGTGAAGACAATAATAATGGCATCTATGATACTAATAATAGTGATAGTAACCTTGTTACTAGAAAAATGGATTTTGAAATAGATTCTGGAATTGTTATCTCATATGAGGAAAAAAAATTTCTCATTGCCAATTTTCCAATTGGTGTTATTAAGAAATATGAAAATGATGAATTTCAAATAATTATTGAAAAACAATCAGCAAGTGTAAAGATATACTTTACAAAAAATAGCGAATCTATTAGTATTATCCCTGGATCTTTTGAATGTAAACGTTCTAATTCAGAATCAAATGTAAATGAATTAGCAAAAATTAATCCAATTGTTGAAATTGATAAATCATATTATATGATAGATAGAACTTTAAAAAAAGTAGTAATGTATTTTAAAAAAAATCCTATTTTTATATTATTAGATCAAAAATATCTGGAGATATGTGAAGAAGAAATTGACAAAAATGTTAATAAGAGCACCTATAGTAGGAATAGTACTAATACTGATAAAGATACTGATGATATTTATGATGATAATAATAGTGTCTACGATAATAATAATAATATCAATAATGAAGATACCGATGAAGATACCAATGAAGATACCGATGAAGATACCGATGATGATGATGACAATGAAGATACTGATGATTTTTATTGTGAATGTGGTCTTCGTGCTGCTAGATACAGAGTTAAAAAAAACCGCAACCATGGGAGATATTTTTATTGTTGCCCTAAAAATAGAGAATATCAATGTAGCCTCTTTAAATGGATAGATGAACTTGATGTCAATGATGATGATATTTATTGCGATTGCGACCTTCTTGCTGTTAGAATTAGAGTTAATGAAGGCAGAAATATTGGGAATTATTATTATTGTTGCTCTGAATATCAATGCAATTTTAAATCGTGGATTGATTAAACAAGGTACTTATATATATATACTAAGAGAGCTTAATACGGTATACGTTGGGGTAGTCGGTCAACTAATAAAATCAAACCTATATGTGGACCCTTAATAGATTTACATAGTACAGATTTTTTAATTATTTTATGTT